GCATGATATAGGCCCTGCTTGTTTCTTCTGTAAATAGAAATCCAATTTTCCAAACACCATTGATTGAAGACCTCAATAAGATGATAGTCTTATCATGTTCAGCTTAAAAATGTCTATTGGTCTTCCATGGTTTACAAAATAAAGTTCAAACATTTTAGGGTGCTGACATTAACCTTCGTGATCATGCTTTAATCTTTTGGCTAAGATGGCTGGTGGGTTTGAACCCCTTACTTTATAGTCTACAGCCCAACTCATAAATCAGTATGCCACCAGGACTTTTGTGAGGTATAGTTCAAAATTGTTTTTTTCCCCTTCATTTAAATATCCAGTTGTTCCAGCACCACTTTTTGGAAAGACTTCTTATAAGTGGGTACCAAAGAAACCAGAAAAAAACTCTGCTGGGCGGAGCTTTCATAGTACACATTTTTCCTGCTAGAGCAAGTCGCTCTGAGTTAGTGCACCCAGTGGCGTTGCCTGGGAAGGTTCTCTTTGGTCACAGTGCATTTTTTTCTTAAAAGCACTTTTGCTGGAACCTCGTTTTTTGAGATGGCTGATTTAAGAGAACAGCATGTGGCTGTGAAATTTTGTTTTCTGCTGGTGGGGGGTTTGCTGCAGAAACTGTTGTGATGTTGAACACAGCTTACAAGGACAGTGCTATAGGAAAAACTCAATTGTATCAGTGTTTTACTTGTTTCAAAAGGTGAAATGTCGATTGATGACAAACCTCATTTTGAATGTCTGTCAGCTTCCCAAATGAACAAAAATGTCAACTTGTGTGTTCCACCAGGTCAGACTGTTTGTTAATCAAGCTTTCTATTTAGAGGTTCTGAAGAGATTGTGTAACAGTGTGTGATGAAAAAGGCCTGGTTTTGCCACCATGAAAATGCAACTGCTCACATAATTATTTCAGTGCACCAGTTTTTGGCAAGAAACAGCATGCCTCTCTTGCTGTACGCACCTTACTCACCTGACCTCGCTCCGTGCGACTAATGTTTGTTTCCTTGAATGAAGAGAGACAGGAAAGGACAGAGATTTCATGACGTAAAAGAGGTGAAGAAAAAGAAAACGAGGGAGGTAAGGTACTGTCAGCCATCCAAACAGATGAGTTTGAAAAATGTTCCCAAGAATGGAATCGCAGATATGACAAATGTATTAAGTATAACAGAGAGTACTTTGAAAGTGATAAAGTTGTTTTGAAAAAAAATTTACATAGCTTTGGGGAAAAAATTCCCGGTTTTTTTTGGGTACCCTCCTCTGTGGCCTTGTTAAAAGTTTGATGATTGTATAAATGGAGGTTGATTTCTGAACTCTCTTCTATTCCATTGCTCCATTAGTCAATCCTATGCTGGTACTAGGAGGCCTTGTGGTATAGTGATTTTGTGCTGGGCTGCTAACTATAAGGTCAGCAGTTTGAAACTACTTGTTTCTTTATAGGAGAAAGATGAGGCTTTCTGGTCCCATAAAGATTTGCCGCTTTGGAAACCCAAAGGGTCAGTTCTTCCCTGACCGGTAGGGTTGCTGTGAGAATCAGGATTGACTCAACAGCAGTGACTATTCAGTATCCGCTTGTTCTATTAGAACTGGTACCTCTGGGTCAGTGGACAGATCGTCGCTGAGATGGAGGGACACAGCGGCTGCAATGCTGGGCTCAAACAGTAACAACTGTGCCGGTGGCACAGGACCAGGCCGGGTTTCTTCTGTTGTACACGGGATCACAGAGTTGAAACTGACCCAATCGCACTAAATAAAAGCCTTTTAGTGCCACACTGTTCTAATTACTATCGCTTTAAAGTGAGTCTTGAAGTCTAGGAATGTAGATCCTCTGACTTGGTTCATTTTATTTTTTTTTCCAGGTTGATTTGACTGTTCTAGAGCCTTTGCATTTCTATATCATCAGAATTACAACTGGGATGGTATTGAATCTGTAGGTCCATTTGGGAAGAATTGGCATCTTGACAGTGTTGTGTCTTTAAATATGTGAATATGGTGTGTTTCTCTTTTATTTGGTGTTTAGGATTATTTTTGTACTTCTTGGTAGTTTGTAGTGCAGAGCTCTTATATATATTTTGTTAAATAACTATATTATCAAATACTGATTTTTGAAACTCGTAAAATAGAGCTGTCAGTCATATCATTGTTCTCTATATGGTATGTCTATGTCACTGTCTGCTTCTAAGAGTTTCTCTTATTTGGGACTTTCAGCAGTGTGTCTGCGATGTGTCTAGGTATGATTTTCTTGGCATTTCTCTTGTGTAGGTTAACTGAGCTTTTTCTATCAATTTAATTTGTCACTGATTTAAGAAATTTGGAACCATTTTTTTTTCTATAAATTTTTTTTCTATTGCCTCTGTGTCAGCTCTTCTGGAATGTCAGTCACCTTTCAATATTATCCCACCAGAACCAGAGTCTCATTACTCTCCATGATTTTTCTCCTTTTCAGATAGCTTTGTTTCCATTGATCTGCGTGTAAGTGTAACAGCTCTTCTTTTTAATTTCTAATTTGGTCTTAAATTTAACCACTGAATATTTTACTTCAATTTTTATGTTGTTAGTTCTAGGATCTGTGTTTGTCTCATTCTTTTTTGAATGGTTTCTAATTCTCTGCTGATTTTTCAAAATTATTTGTTCATTCTTTTTATGTCCTTAACTATTATAATCCTATGCCTGGGTCACCACAGGGTCTTGTTTGTATTGATTATTGTATGTTATGCAAATAACACGTTATACGTCTTTTATGAACCTTGAGACCTTGTGTATTCATTTCTTATGTGTGTGTATGTGCAAATTATATGTGTGTGCACATTGTGTCCCTGGCTGTGCTGTGAGTAGAAGTCTGTGAGCAGTAAGGTGCCTCTGTCATGAGTATGTCATGTTCAGTGTTTTCCTCTCGCTCATGATTTTGTGTTATGCCCTGGATAGTGTAAACAGTATTGTGGAGCCTCTGGAGTTTGTGATATTCTTCTAGAGAGCTTAGAAAACAGTTAAAATTTTATTTTCACTTTCACCAATGTTTTTGTCTTATTTTCATTATATAAGTATTATTAATTGGGAGTTAATACATATACTGTTCCATAATTCCATCACATCAAGCAGAAATGTGCAGTTGCTACAGTAATCACTTTGCAAACATTCTTTCCTTCATGACATCGTCTCCCTTTTCGCTCGACTCACCACTTTACCCGCACCCCTGAAACCCTTAATCTACTTGCTGTCCCTGCAGGTTTATCAGTTCTGATTCCTAGAGTGTTTTGTTTGTTTGTTTGTTTAGCAATTGATAAACTTGCCTGGACTCGGCGTCCAGACTCTCTCTACCTGTGGTGGGCAGAAGTGGACATTTCTGCTCTGGTTTTCCCCCTTCCCTGGGCTTCCCAGGGTTTTATCCTGTTCAGCCGGGTTGGTAGAGTTCCCACACATGCTTTGAGGCGGATGTTCTCCGAGCGTTCTCTCTTCTCTGCAGCTGCTGTGGAGTCCCTAGGTTTGATTTTGTGCTTTTTGAGCCTATGAGACTGTACGTTTCTGAGGTTTTGCTTTTCCCCATAGCTGGTGGCTTGTACTTGCCTTCGAGTGAAAACTATAAAAACAGAAACTGAATCGGTGTTCTTTTCTTCTTCCAAGTGTAGATTTCCTTCTACCTTTGCTTTTGATTGCTTTGGAGTGTGTTCAGGTAGTTGTTTCCAAGATGTTGTCTGCGTTTATAGGGTTGCATTTCTAATTTAAGGTACTTTGTTATCTCTCGTGAGATGCTTGTTGGAGGCTGGATCACTTAATTTCGAGTATTACGTAACAGTTCTCTGTGTGGTTTCTTTTATTAGGGAGAGGGTTTTCTTACGCTCACGTTTATTTGGGTTTCATTTCCCGTTTTTAATAGTTTTGGATAGAGGAGACTGCTTGTGCCTATGCATTTCGTAGATGGGATTGGGTGATTTAAGAACACCTAGTTCCAATTATTTTGTAAATTTAGTAAAATACGGTTTCTTTACTAGAGAGAATTTTTTTGGGAGGGGATTGTGAGATGGCTTGGATGTAATCTGAGTTAAAATTTTCCTTTTGTCTTATGAGATCCTAAATGTCCCCCATGTTTTCCCTTGCTGGCACAATTTCTTCTTTTCTTTTTTTTAATAATTTTACTGGAGGCTCGTACAACTCTTATCACAATCCATACATCTGGCACCATTAATCAAAGGGTACATTTCCATTCCTTTTTCCCAAAAATATTGACTTTTTTTGTTCCTTATTTTCTCCTGTTTGGGACGGGCGCCTGGTGGTACAGTGGGTTGGGTGTTGCGCTGCTACCCACAGGGTCAGCAGTTTGAAACCACCAGGCACTTTCTACTCCTGTAAAGTGGGACAGTCTCAGAAACTCACAGGGCAGTTCTCCCCTCTCCTGTAGGGTCCCTGTGAGTTGGAACCAACTTTTGGCAGTGAGTTTGAGAAAGGTAGTGGTAGTCAGGCACCATCTGGTCTGGTGTAGGACTGTGGAGGCTGAGGTCCATGTGGTTTGTAGACCACTGTGCATTGTCTTCAGGTTTCCTCACTCCCCTGTGCCCTGAACACAGAGGTCAACAGCTGCATCTTAGACAGCTGTCCACACAGCGGTCACTACTCACCAAAGCAGGATGTTGAATGCTGTCTTTGTGAACTATGTTATGCCAGTTGACCTTGGCATTTTAGCACTTGGTGCATTCCCTAGGTGTTTTTTTTAACCTTTATTTACATACAGGTCAGCCAGAATCAACATGTCTGGAGTGGAGGAAGCAGTTATTGGAAGCCGGGACAGTTGTCCTTCTTCTGCTGGTGGCCAGTCGGTACTGTGCTTTGGGCAGGTAACTAATTTTTATCTGGAGAGAATGAGGCTGAGTGAGAAAATGTATGAGGAGGCCATTTGCAGAGCATCGTTCTTCGTATATGCATGGATGTTATTATTTCTTCTTCTTATTGGATTTTTCTTTCTCTGCATTATTTGAGAGTCTTTGATGCATTTTGGAACTTTGGCATTAGAAGACCGGAAACACTGGGGATTACATTTAGATTTAGATATTAGTTATTTTGGGGTAGATAATGTATTCATGCGCTATATAAAACTTAACAACAAAATCAAAGACTGTGTGAAATTGCCCTACTTCCCCATTACTTCTGTTCACCAGCCTCGTACTTCTCTTTCTTCAAGGCATCAAGGCGATGGTATCTTTGTAGAAAGAGTCTGTGAGTACAAAAGGGACTATTGCTTTGCTCACCCAAATTCTACCTTCATCTTTAGCAGAGATCAGTTTGTGAGTATTCATTTCATAAAATAGGAAAAGAAGAAAACGTCCAAGGTAATAAGAAGAAAAACAACAAATAGTGTATTTATGTGGAGCTGTTGAATTGGAAAAGAGGGTGTCAAACGTGGGAGAGGACAGATGGAAGCGAGAGTTTGTCTTAGTTCTCCTTCCCCACATAAATGCCGCAGACAGACTCTGGGGCTGGACGCTTTACTCTCCTAATTCTAGCGTGAGAAAGTGTGTCAGGATACTAGTATCATCCAAGGCAGTGGTCCTAAAAAGGTGCTCTGGGGCTCTGTGAGGAGCCACAAGACCCTTTCAGAGCCCATGAGGTCAAAACTATTTTCATCATTATGTAAAAATAACATTTTCTTACTTTACTCTCATTTTCCAGAGGCTGCATGACACATACATTAGTACTTTGATCATCAGTGGAATGTATGCCTTAAAAATATCTGTTTTAATTTCCAATGTGGTACATACTGATGATATAACCCATATACCGTATATACTTGTGTATGAGCCGAGTTTTCCAGCAAATTTTTAATGTAGTTTTTGTGGTAAAATTAGGTGCCTTGGCTGATAGATTGTTCGGCTTATATTCGCGTATATAAGGTTAAACAATCGCTCTTTGGAATCCTCAATACTTTGTAAAGTATGTAAAGTGGTCTTGAGACCAAGAAGTTGAAGAATCGCTGATATAAGGCGGGGTAGAAATGTCAGTGTAATATTTTCATTCTGTATTGTAGTGCCAATACACAGCAGAAGAGTACCGGGCCATCCAGAATGCACTGAGGCAGAGGCTGGGCCCGGAATATATTAGCAGCCGCATGGCTGGAGGCGGCCAGAAGGTAGGAGCATTTAAATGCCTAGAAAGCGGTGTCTGTATAGCTGAGCACTCACGGTCTTTATGACTTCCTCTTGGGGTGGGTTCTCATGGGTTCAGAAGGTGTTTTGACCACTGTTCCTAGATATTTCCTAGTGTTCAAGCCCTTGGGGAGGGAAGAAGATAGAGTTCAATCTTCATTGTCCTCTAAAATGGCACTAACATTGTTTTGAGTGTTATATACTTTATGCCATCTTTTAAAATTGTCTTTCGCTTTAAACTTAACTTTAGTGTCTTCTATAAAATATGTTAGCCTGTAGACCAGAGAATGTACACTGGTACAGATGGGAACTGAAAATACAGGGAATCCAGGGCGCATGAGCCCTGCAGGACCAGCGGTGTGAGTGGCGAAACAGGGAGGGTAAAGGGAGAATGGGTAGGAAAGAGGGAACCGATTACAAGGAACTGTGTGTGACCTCCTCCCTGGGGGACAGACAACAGAAAAGTGGGTGAAGGGAGACGTCGGACAGAGCAAGATATGACAAAATACCAATTTATAAACTATCAAGGGCTCATGAGGGAGGGGGCAGCGGGGAGGGAGGGGAAAAATGAGGACCTAATGTCGGGGGTTTAAGTGGAGAGAAAATGTTTTGAGAATGTACAAATGCGCTTTACACAATTGATGTGTGTATGGATTGGGATAACAGTTGTGTATGAGCCCCTAATAAAATGTTTTAAAAAAAAAAAAGTTGTACAAGGCCCCAATAAAATGATTTGGAAAAAAAAAAAAAATGTTAGCCTGAGAGTCATACCTTTTTGGAAATTATATTATTCTAAGTGAATAGATATCCTTCCCTTTTATCGTAGTCCGTCTCCCAGGACAGACCTTTAATTCTGGTGGGCTCCCAAGAAGGTCTTTAAAATAAGTTCATTGAAAATGTCCCTGGAGTGTTATAGGACCATTTACCCCCAAATCAGATAAAGACTATAATAGGTAAATTTTGATCCACATTTAAAGATGGCAGGCAAGTATAATACAGCCTTTTGTTGCTTAACTTTTCTCTCAGGTCTGTTACATCGAAGGACACAGAGTCATTAGTCTGGCCAATGAGATGTTTGGTTACAATGGCTGGGCACATTCTATCACACAACAGAATGTGGGTGAGTATGTTTCTTGACAGTGGTGACTTCTTCATTCCCTTTACTTGGTATTGTATAATTTCTGACCATCGAGTTTTGTGGGTGAGCATATAGGTGGGTATGTTTGGTTGCCAGCAGGAGGAATGTGGGTGAGACACAAGGGTCAGTATCTTCTTCCTCCTCTGCTCTTTCCCATTCTAGACTTTGTTGACCTCAACAATGGCAAGTTCTACGTGGGAGTCTGTGCATTTGTAAGGGTCCAGTTGAAGGTAAGGGAAGTGGAGTAACCTGCTGCCTGGGGAGATGCTGCAGGGGTGGAAAGGAGTGAGTGGGCATGGAGCTCTCCTCCCTGTGGCACAAACAACCTAGAGGACTAGCTCCTCTGGCCGCAGGCCTTCCCAGATTGTATCTCAGCCCATGCTCATTAGCATGGTTTTCATGTGCCACCTAAAAGAATGTTTTAAAACTCTGTCCTTAACATTTTCAAGATGACATTTAAAAGTTTTCATCATTAGTATAAGTAGTTTCAAAAGGTATTTCTTTTGGCAAAAAATGAAAAAATTTTTTAAACTTTGAAATTTTAAAATAAATCTGAAATATTGCTGTTAAAAGTCCCCCACTCTCTCTCACTGCCATCGAGTCGACACCATAGGGACGCTATAGGATAGGGTGGAACTACCCCTGTGGATTTCAGAGACTATAACTTTATGGGAGTAGAAAGCCTTAACTTTATCCCGAGGAGGGGCTGGTGGTTTCAAACTGCTGATCTTGGAGTTAGCAACCCAGTGCAGAACCACTACAGCACCAGGGCAGTGGACTGTAAATACTATTGGGAATGAAGTACAAGGGGGGTATCCCAAAAAACCTGGAATTGCACTGGGTAGAGTGGAGCTTTCATAGTATGCATTTTTCCTGCTAGGTAACATCAAGCTACTCTCGAGTTATTGCACCCAGTGGCATCACCTGGGAAGGTTCTCTGTGGTCACAGTGCATTTTTTCATAAAACCAGTTTCACTCGAACCTCATTTTTTGTGATAGCTGATTTAAGAGAACAGTGTGAGTGTGAAATTTTGTTTCTTGCTTGGGGGAAAATGCTGCAGAAATTGTTGTGATGTTGAACACAGCTTACAAGGGCAACGCTATAAAAAAACCTCAAGTGTCTGAAGGGTTTTCTTGATTCAAAAAAAGGTGAAATGTCGATTGATGACAAACCCCGTTCTGGACGCCCATCAACTTCCTGAACAGGTGAAAATGTCAACTCGTACTGTATTTGGAGTTCATTACACCAGGTCAGACTGTTAATCCAGTTTTCTATTTAGAGGTTCTGAAAAGATTGCATAACTGTGCGACAGAAAAGGCCTGATTTGTGGCAGACAGGGCACTGGTTTTGCCACCACAACAATGCGCCTGCTCACGCAGCCATCTCGGTGCACCAGTTTTGGGCAAAAAACAGTATGCCTCTCTTGCCCCACACACCTGACTCACCTGACCTCACTGTGTGCGGCTTCTTTTTATTTCTGCAAATGCAGAGGGGCATGAAAGGACAGCGATTTGATGACGCAGGAGAGGTGAAGAAAAAAATGAAGGAGGTGCTGTCAGCCATCCAAACAGATGAGTTTGAAAAATATTTCCAAGAATGGAATCACAGATTTGACAAATGTATTAAGTGCAATGGAGAGTACTTTGCAGGCGATAAAGTTGTTTTTGTAAACAAAATTTAAATACATAGCTTTGAAAACAAAATTTTGGGGTTTTGGGGGGGTACCCCCTTGTACAGTACCAATCAAAGACTTTCAGTTATAAATATTTATTAGGATAAAGGCCTATGGGATAGCGGAATAGAAATATTAGTTCAAATAAGACAGAATTATGTAACATTTCTGACCACTAAAAAATAACTTGCATATGTGTATTTTCTTAAACAGATGACAGTACGAGGGGGTACCCCCCAAAACTGGGATTTTGTTTTTCAACACTATGTATTTAAATTGTTTTTACCAAACAACCTTATCACCTGTAAAGTACTTTCCATTACAATGAATACATATGTCAAACCTGCGATTCCATTCTGGGAAACATTTTTCAAACTCATATGTTTGGATGGCTGACAGCACCTCCTTCATTTTTTTCTTCACCTCTCCTACGTCATCAAATCACTGTCCTTTCATGCCCCTCTGCATTTGCAGAAATAAAAAGTCACACAGATGGGTGCAGACATGGCTGCATAAGTAGGTGCATTGTCGTGGTGGCAAAACCAGTGCCCCATCTGCCACAAACCAGGCCTTTTCTGTACTACAGTTACGCAATCTTTTCAGAACCTCTAAATAGAAAAAGCTTGATTAACAGCCTGACGTGGACAAACCCCAAATGTACTATGAGTCGACATTTTTGTCCTGTTCAGGAAGTTGACAGACATCCAGAATGAGTTTGTCGTCAATTAACATTTCACCTTTTTTTGAAATGAGAAAACCACTTGTAAACCTGAGTTTTTTCCATAGCGCTGTCCTTGTAAATGGTGTTTCTGCAGTTCACAACAGTTTCTGCAGCATTTTTCCCTGAGCAGGAAACAAAATTTCATAGCTGCATACTGTTTTTTTAAATTGGCCATCATAAAAAACAAGGTTTGAGCAAAACTGCTTTTACGAAAAAATGCACTGTGACCAGAGAGAACCTTCCCAGGCAACGCCACTGGGTGCACTAGCTCAGAGTGAGTTGCTTAACGCTTGCTTAGTGGTAAAAATGCATACTAGGAAAGATTCCATTTTTGGGTGGTACCCCTCCTATATCCTTTTTAACATACATAATTATCTGATCAATTGTGTTAATAACTGTAATTATAATTCAATCCAGGACAAATTTTATAAGTACTTTTGAAGCCTTCATGTCACTGGAAATCTGAAATAGTTTCTCGGCCTTTTGGTTAAGATCAAGTGTAGTATATGTTCTTTATCAGTTTAATATCAGATACATCCTCTATCTGAGGACAAAATATTAAATGGATTTTTGGAGCAGGGAGATGGAATAGGAGCTTGCTTCATCCACTCCATGTATTGACCTGGTATTTCGGTACCTCTAGGAACAGCGCACACATCTCTTGTCTGTTTACAAAGTCAGAGTGTAAGTCATCCAGCCTGTTTCTTTTCTTGCTCCATCCATGCCCTAAGGGCATTTACCTCGCTCACATCTTCGTGCTTTGGCCAAAGCTGCTGCTTTAGAGAAGAGGGTAGACACCTAGCAGACGTATAGTCTCAGTGTCTCTTCCCACTTGTTTGGTTGGCACTTTTCTTTACATTATATGTTTGTTTATTGAAGTTATACACACAAATGAATAAAAATTACTCTCATCAAAAAACCATTTATATTTATGCATGTACACATATTCACATACTTGTATATATAAAAATATAACAAAATAAACAATTATCAAAAATTTAATATGAGAAGTAAATTTTATAAAAAATACATTTCTTAATGAGATAGTGCTGCTTTTGCTTGCCTATTAGTTTATACATGTGTAGTTGATGATCATTTATATCTATTAAAATATTCAGCATTAACACTTCTGGCTTATGTTTTATAAACAGTACTGAAAAACTTTGTTCATGTAAATAGGTAGCTGGAGATGGAAAGAGGGTTATCCATTTCTACAACAGGGTTATCCATTTCTTTGAAGTTTCAGAATTTTATACCACAAATCATATCATGCCATCATCAAAATTATCTTTTATCTGTCACCTTGATCAAACCAAAAAATAGATGCCACCTGGATTGCATGAAGGTTTTCTATCCATTCCTTACCTGTGGCATTTCACCTGATTCCTCTCTTTGGGGGTCCCAGAGGTTTGTATACTTTGGGGTAGGTAACATGGAGAGCAGTCTTCATACGTTGACCACAAGCACATTTCCAGGCAGATGTGGTTAGAAGCAGTGCCTGGGAAGCTACTGTTCTGGACATGAACTTCCTGACAACTGTCTGTGCCCAAGGCCCTGGGCATAGGTCCAGGCTCCTTTGAACACCGCTGTGGAAGGCAAGGTAGCGCTGGAGCTAGCACGCGTGTTAGAAGTCTGACCCTTTTCTTCCCTCAGGATGGCTCCTTCCATGAAGATGTGGGTTATGGAGTTAGTGAGGGTCTCAAGTCCAAGGCCTTGTCCTTGGAGAAGGCCCGGAAGGAGGCAGTGACCGATGGGCTGAAGCGAGCTCTCAGGTAAGCAAAAGTATCCCCTGCTTCATTTCAGCTCTTGTTGTAGAGGGAGTTTCAAAAAGCTCATAGAAAAATTCATTTATCTTTGAATTTCACTTTTCCACAAACTTTTCAAGCCCCTTGGTAGTCACCTGGTTCAAACCTGAAAACATTTTAAAAAGGTCGTCTTACTCCTGCTCTTTATTTGCCTACTCCCTTTTGTATTTTCCTAACATTATTTTATGCTACATCTTCCCTTGTTTACGTGGCAGAATATGCGCTTTTCTCCCCATCCCTCAAAAGAGCCCTGTGGCGCAGTGGGTTACGTTTTGGGATCTAACGGAAGATGACTGGCTTGCACCCGCCACCCCCACGCCTCGGGCGCAGATGACGCCGGCAGCCCACAGAGGTGGACAGCCGCAGGCCGCGTGGCAGCGCTCCGTGGCCTGTGCGGTGGCAGTGAGGCCGCACCAGTTGCCCTGACAGCAGGCAGTGGGTTGGTGTGGTTCCTTCACGTGCCTTGGAGACCTTTCCATATGAGAACACGGTAGCTCCCGCGCTCTCGGAATACACTTCAAC